CGAGGCGGGACGAGACCAGGGCCGTGGCTGGCCACTCGCCCCCGCTGCCACGCGCGGCGGGGAGGCGCGCGGCCGCCGCCGAGTGGCTCACGCGCGCGGGCGGCACTGGGCTCGCCGCGGGCGCCCGCGCGGCCGCCGCGGGACTCGCGGCGCTCGCCTGCCTCGCGTGCGCGACGGCGGTCACGCACACCCGCAGCTCCGCCCACGCTCGACGCGCCGGTGACTGCGCGGCGAGGGGCAGCTCCGCCTGCCAGCCTGCCGGCTCCAGCGCCTGCGGCCGCAGCGACAGCCGCTGCGGCGGCGCGCGCGGGGAGGGCGCGCGGCTCCGGCCGCAGCGCGCCGCTGGCGGCGTGGACTGGCCTGCGAGTGGGCGGGGAGGGCAACTCGGGCGGTCAGGAAACGGCACCGAAGCGTGGCGGGGGGAAGGGGAGGGGGACGGAGGGCAGGGGAGGAGGAGAGAGGAAGGGGGAGCGACAGGTGGAGGGCATGGGAGGCGGGGGCGGGGGCGGGGGGAGCTGCAGAGTGGCGCGCAGGGGCGGGATGAGGGAAAGCACGGGGGGGGGATGAGAGGGTGGAGAGGGATGGGATGGATGCTCCGCAGGGGACCGGTTCGCGGTGGACGGGGGCGGGGATCACAAGGATGTCGCCGCCGTCGCTCTCGCCATGCACGACGGACGGCGGCGGCCGCCGATCGCCTGGCGGGGGTCCTACCGCGTCCAGCCCCATGGGGCTGCCGCCGCCCGCTAGCGCCGCTCCATCGCCGCGCCCCCGGGTCGCGGCCGGCCCGCTCTCGCGGCGCCCTCCCGGTTGCGCGGCGTCCTCTTCGCCTTGACCTCTCCCTTCAGAGGGAGGGGGGGAGGAGGCGGGGAGGGAGGAGGAAGGGAGGGGGGAAAAGAGACATGGCAAGTAAGATGATGATGATGATGATGATGATGATGATGATGATGATGATGATGATGACGATGATGATGGTGATGATGATGATGATGATGATGCTGATGATGATGATGATGATGATGATGATGATGCTGATAATGATGATGATGATGATGCTGCTGCTGATGATGATGATGATGATGATGATGGTGATGATGCTGATGGTGGTGATGATGCTGCTGATGATGCTGTTGATGCTGACGATGATGATACTGATGATGAAGATGCTGATGGTGATGATGATGGTGACGATGGTGATGATGGTTATGTTGATGGTGATGACGATTTAGATGGTGATGGGGTGATGGTGATGATGATGCTGATGCTGCTGCTGATGATGATGATGATGATGATGATAATGCTGGTGGTGATGCTGGTGGTGGAGGTAATGATGATACGATTGTTGATTGTCATAGCGATGAAGACGATGACGATGACGACAACGCTGGATGATGATCATGATGATGACAACAAGAATGACGAGAGGACGAAACGATGATTAAGCGCCCCCCCCAGACCGATTCTTCAGGACATCAGGCCCAACAGCAGATGTGCTGCTGTTTCGGGCGACCCAAACCAGAGAGAGAGAGAGAGCTGCTGGGTATGGTTTCGAAGTCTGCTCCATGCGACTCTGCAACTTGATAAGTCACATAGACGGCTACGTATTTTCGTTGCGCATGAAAATTGTACGAACGTTATGTGCACGAGTTGTGTCATCTGCTTCAAGTGTACACGGTAATTACATGTAATGCAACGCGTCCTCGTATGGCATCCACACATGTCCTGCATGCTCACCCGTTATGCCGGCTATGTCATTCTGGACTGCCGGGTGTGGGTGCATGTGGGGCCCGTAGGTCTGCTTTTTGCGCCCCCGCGTGTCATTTGCGCAAGTACTACGTGTAGGTCATGTGTGTCCGTTGTCGATGCTACGACTAGTTGTGCTTCATGGGTGACTGGTGCTGATAGTTGAATGCATGCACGGCCGATGAAGGCCATGGACATGTGTTCTAGATGTCTGTGAGGTGTGTGGATGTCACTTCTTTGGGTGCTGGTGCTTCATACTGTTGCCTGGTAGCGGTGAATGGTGTTGATGATTGCTTTGGGTGCCGGGCATGGTTGTCTGTTCCCTGTCTCTGTTGTTGATGTGTCCTTGGCGTGTTGTATACATATATGTACACCTATATCTATCTATCTCTAGATATATATATATATAAATATAGATACACACACACATATATATATACATATATGGTCCAGGGTCTGGGCCCCCCTCCCTCATGCTGATGCCATCGCCCCCCCCATGGCGCGAATTGGCTGCGATTGTTGTCAACGGTGCCTCAAAATCCGTGGCCTACATTGTCATTGCCGGTTCTTGATGTCTGCTTCTGGTGACTGCTAATAGTGATAGTGTAGTGAAGTTCTTGCTGTCCTTCCTGCGTGTCTCTTGTTCGTGCCTGCTCTGTTGTCTGCGGTCGGCGTGACGCCGTGGCGCCTGTCATGTGCAACTGGTTGTGAGTTGCTTCTGTCGTTCCCAAGTACGGGGCCCAGCAGGGCGAGACCTTCAAGAGTCTCGGGGCTACCAGAGCCTGGCGGCTGCGGCATGTCGGGCCAGTTCGGCGAGGCGGGACGCTCGGGAGTACTGGGGCCCGGCGGCCGCGAGGTACAGGGCCGGCGCGGCGGGATGCTCGGGACGCTCGGGGGTTCTGGCGGCCGCGGTATGCAGAGCGCGGGCGAACGCTCGGGCGGGGCGAAACACATGACATCAGACTCTGGTATCCAATGGCATGAAATCGCCCCAACGATCTGTCGAGAAATTGATCCGCGGCTGTGTTTCTCACGTCAAGGTCGGCCCCCGGCTGCAACTGCCGAGTGCGAAGCTTAATCGTGCACCGGGACATGGATTTTCATCATGCCTCGTCTTGGGTGTATATTCTGAATGTATGGTCTTGATGTTTGCTCTTGATGCGTGTTCATCTTATGCATGCTTGTTGGATGGGATTGATGTGGGCTCTTCGTGCTTGTCTGCGGTGTATGGGTATCGGCCCTATTCACAGGTGCATGCTACTGATGCTCTCGGGCTGAGCAATGGCTTACAACTGCCTTGTGCGAGGCCTCTACGAATCTAGACTGCCATTCTCCCTGCGAAAAACGGAATGCGCTTGTCCAGCCTTGGCATGAAGGCCGGCGTAATCAACGACTCCTCTTCAACTCGACTGGAGGTCACCGACGCTGACTTGCCAACCACTGGAGTCGATGGCAAAGGTTCGCGAGAGCGCGCTGGAATTACCCGCCCAAGGAGCAAGCGAAAGCAGCGTAAACGAAACTATCAGGGGAAAAAGGACTCGTCAACGGCAAGCGTGCCAACGTGTTGGTCGCCTCCTGCGGGTCCTTTACACCCTGTCCCGAATTCATCATGTGTTTTTCCCAACCATCCTGTGGTGTTGGGTCCTCGTTTTGAAGAGACGGTGCCCCGCGTTCCTCTCCTCCTCTCCTCCTCCTCCTCCTCCTCCTCCTCGCCCTCCTCCCTCCAGGGTTCGCATGCCTCCCCACCACCCATGTCGGCACACCCCTCACACGTTTCGTGGCCCCATAGGGAGCTCCACCGAAGGCCCCAGTGGCAGGGTTCGCATGCCTCCCCACCACCCATTTCGGCACACCCCTCACACGTTTCGTGGCCCCATAGGGAGCTCCACCGAAGGCCCCAGTGGCAGGGTTCGCATGCCTCCCCACCACCCATCTCGGCACACCCCTCACACGTTTCGTGGCCCCATAGGGAGCTCCACCGAAGGCCCCAGTGGCAGGGTTCGCATGCCTCCCCACCACCCATTCGGCACACCCCTCACACGTTTCGTGGCCCCATAGGGAGCTCCACCGAAGGCCCCAGTGGCAGGGTTCGCATGCCTCCCCACCACCCATTTCGGCACACCCCTCACACGTTTCGTGGCCCCATAGGGAGCTCCACCGAAGGCCCCAGTGGCAGGTTCGCATGCCTCCCCACCACCCATTTCGGCACACCCCTCACACGTTTCGTGGCCCCATAGGGAGCTCCACCGAAGGCCCCAGTGGCAGGTTCGCATGCCTCCCCACCACCCATTTCGGCACACCCCTCACACGTTTCGTGGCCCCATAGGGAGCTCCACCGAAGGCCCCAGTGGCAGGGTTCGCATGCCTCCCACCACCCATTTCGGCACACCCCTCACACGTTTCGTGGCCCCATAGGGAGCTCCACCGAAGGCCCCAGTGGCAGGTTCGCATGCCGCATGCCTCCCCACCTTTCGGCACACCGGCACACCCCTCACACGTTTCGTGGCCCCATAGGGAGCTCCACCGAAGGCCCCAGTGGCAGGGTTCTAGACCCACGGCACACCCCTCACACGTTCGTGGCCCCATAGGGAGCTCCACCGAAGGCCCCAGTGGCAGGGTCGCATGCCTCCCCACCACCCATTTCGGCACACCCCTCACACGTTTCGTGGCCCCATAGGGAGCTCCACCGAAGGCCCCAGTGGCGCGGTGCCTATGAGAAGAGGGGCCTAGTTTGCGTGCCCCCTCCTTCGTCTCATATCCGTGCGGTACTCGCAGCTGCATATGGTTGGGTCCTTCGCCAGGCTAATGTGGCTTTTGCCTCAATTGGTTAGCATCTGCTCTCGCCAACCATCGTTACATGGCGCTGACATGTCGGCATGAAGGCCCATACGCGAGAAGCTCTTGCTCTCCCGGGAATTACTCGGACTTGCCCCTGCGCCAAATCGGCACGACTGAACGCGTAAAACTACCCATCTCACCCGTAAGTGTCACAAAATGATTCGGCGGAGGCGGATGGTCAGAAAGAAGAAGAGGTGGGGAACGATCGGGAAACGCGATCGACTCAGGAGGGAGCAATGAAGCCAGGGATCTGGGCTATCAAGCGGATGAGGACTTGCTTGGCAAGCCACTGATCGGTTGGGGATTGGCGGCCACTGGGCCGGCTGAAGGCAATGAAGAGGACGATGGGGGAGGTGAAGGCTGGGAGAATCGTAACAGATACTCGCTCCTGCATGCAACGAGTTCGCAACTTCGGGGATCTTTTCGCAAGGCTAAAGAATTCTGAGTCGAGCGCAGCCGATGCTGGGAAAAACTGGACGAGTTAGCAACATACATCTGGATGGAGCCCACTCTCCCACGCATTGGTCAAACACGTACGTGTCAGACTGGCACTGCCTATGCTGCGAGAGGCCCGGAGTGCCATCTCTGGAAAAAAATGCCCCGTTCCAAAGTCAGGCTACAAAGTTGCAACCAGTAGCGTGCACCTACCTGTTCGACATGCGAAACCATGCTGGGTCGAACCGAACTGGACCGCCGCGCAGATAGCCTGTACCGGCAATAATGATGTGAGGGCTCCTGAACCGACTGGCAAACATGGCATACGATAGCTGCGGAGATGAAATCCGTCTTCATGAACGCGGGGTCGCAACAAACAATACAGTGACACACTCGGTGCCACACCTGCACACGTGTGTAGAACACACATGCGCAAGAATAGCAAATTGTTATACACTAGATCGAACCGTTCACAAACCAATGCCACAAGAATCGTCATCATGCCCCGCCCCTTGCCGAAACTACCGACCCGCTGAGTCCTCATCAAACAAAACTACAGGCCCCCACCACCAAAGCACCATCTCTTAGAGCTGGGCTGCGCTGCACAACGACACCCCAGACAGGCAAAGCGCTGGGCCATTCTCCCAACCCCAGCGCACAGATGCCTCTGTTGCGGAACTGCTGTCGCTGGCTTCTCTGATGGGTTGGGGTAGTGGCTTCCATGACAGGGGAAGGGAGAAAAGGAAGGACATCACAATGGACTGATGTCACCCAGTTTCGCTCTCAGCGGCCCGCGATGCGCGACGCACGGCCGTCTTCGCTCCCTCGCGCCGCAGCCTTGGAGAAGGCCACCATTGCGACGAGAAGGCGAGTGGAGCTGTCGGAGCGGCAGGGGGAGGCAGAATATGTGTGGAGGAGGGAAAGGTCAGGGAGTCAAACCTGCCCGAGATCCGTAGAAGGGGCGATGGAGGGGTCCTCCTCCTATGCGAAGAGAATATGCGTGCCAACACCTGAGCCAACACGATAAGGGCACTGGGGGAAAGAACACCCCTTGAGTCGGCTACACGCAAGAGTGACCCCAAGCAAGAGTGACCTTGATGAGCGGACTAAGGAGGCGCAAGGTGGCCAAATCCAAGCGCGCAAGGAGTCGCTATAGAGCATCGCGCTCAGCAATCGGGGGGACCCCGATGAGCCCGCACCAAAGGTCACTCTGGCGAAAGGTTACTCTCACGTGTACAAGCCCCCCCCCTGACCTGGCGCCCGGCCCCTAACCTGACGCCGCCCCCGCCGGCAATGGACCCGGCGCTTTTATACACGTAACCTGACGCCAAGAAATTAACCTTCGGCACGAACGAAATGGGTACGAAAAGAATGGGTACAAAGCCCAACAGCAGTTCCTGTTCATTTCGAGCAGGACTCGCTGTCCGCGCCGCCGCGGCTGTGTCTGTTTGAGACAGAAGGCCGCCTGCCCAACAGCGGCCGCTGTTGGTTTGGGACAACATTTGTCGTTGGGCATTGTACCCATGTTTTCCGTACCCGTTTCGGGCGTCCAAAAACCCGACGCCACCCCGCTGGCACTCGCCCGGCGCGCGCCCCTCGTGTGGGCGAGACTACCGCTCCCAATCAAGATCGTGGCTGGCGTCAGGTCACTGGCCATCGCTTGGACGTCCATTCCCTGTGTTTCTTTCGGTTTCGTGCGTGGTTTTTGTTCGCCAAACAATCGAGGATGCTCCTCCATGGTCCTCGCCGAAGGAAAAATACACACGTCCGAGCGATGCCAAGGTTAAGGGAGGGGGGTTGTAGTCGACGGTGAGGGCATGAGGGCACTGGGGGAAAGAGCACGCCGTCAGGTCCTGGGCCTGAGCCGGCTCGTCCTACGAGGCCGACGCCGCCACCAACCCCGGCGAGCAGCCCTCTGCGCGGGCAGCCCCGCCGGCGGAGCCGCAGCGCGCCGCGCGGGGACCGCCGGCACGAGGGGCCCCAGGCCGAGCCCCCCGCTCCCGCTGCGCAGAGAGGCGCTCTGCACGCCGCCGCTGTGCCTGGCAAAGACCGTCATTCGGGTCGGGCGAAAGGGGGGGATAGCTAAGTGGGGGTTTGAGAATCAGCTCACGTAGCTGATTTTCCCGGCGCCTCCCGGCGCCGGAGGCGACTACGTATCGAGGACTGGGCCCCTCGGTGAGGCCGACATCAGCTGCACGCAGCAAATTTCGTAAACCCCCCTTTCCCAATCCCCCCCTTTCGCCCGGCCCGAGTCATGGGCACTTGCGCGGTGTCTGCCGATGCACCGCCACACCCTGGCGGGCCGGGGATTCCTGGGGCTCGGCCTGTCACTGGCCAGGCACACGGTCGTGTGCAGAGTGTCTCCTGCAGGCCCCCTGCTCGAATGCCCGCCACGGCACGCGCTGGCGCGGCCGGGGGGGGGCCCACTCGGGGGACCCCCGCGCAACACACTGCGGCACACGCGGCCTGAGCGCATTTCGGGGATGGACAGACCCCCCCTTAGCAAAACGTGGTTTAGTGAAAACGACCTGAGACCCAAACCTGGCGGGCGAGAGCCTGGAAAATAATGGCCACGGCGCCCTCTCGAGAACCGAAAACGGACAATTCACTAATCGACGTGTCACTGTTCGGGGTTCTGTCCACCCCCGAGCATCACGGCCTACTGCGGCCTGGCCGCCTTCTCCTTCCTGGCGGCCTGGTAGATTTGCGCGAGGACGGTCTTGCTGCCCGCGTTCTGGTCGGTGACCTTGGCGCATCCCCCCGGACTGGCCGCCCACCCTCCCCGCGGAGGGGGCCGGGGCTTGCCGGGGAGGAGCGGGGGGGGTAGTTCTGGAGCCCGAACGAAGGCACCGCGGGGAGAGGGAGCGGGGACCGGGGGGGGGGGGGCGGAGGTGGGGGGGGGAGAAGGGAGGAGCAGAGGGGAAAGGGGGGGGAGGGGCAGCGGGGAACCGAGGGGGGGCAGGGAGAAGGGGGCAGGAGGGGAGGGAAGCAGAAGAGAATGGGGGGAAGGGGGGGGGGGGGCAGGGACGGGCGCGCGGGCGCGACGCGGAGGCACACGGGGGGGGCGGGGGCCCCGCAGGACTCGCGGAAGACGTTGCTGACGCAGCCCATGGTGGAGTGCCAGTAGCAGCTGTCCGCGGCCTCGCCACGGCCGTCGCGGGGCGCGCGGGCAGACGACCCGGCAGGCGGGCGAGGACTGCGGGCAATATTTATATCCATATCCAGTGCGTCTTGGACTTTCTTGGAAGGGGCGCCGCAAGGCCGAGGCGCACTGGATATGGATAAACATTGAGCCTTTTGGAGGCAGATTATAATCCATATCCAGTGCGCCTCATGTTTCTTGGGAAGAGAGTCCGAAACTCCAAGACGCACTGGATGTGGATAAAGACATTGCCCGCAATGACGGGGAGTTGGGAAGCTGGCACCAGAGACAGCCTGGATGGCGACGGTCCTCCTCCCAAGAGCACACGAGCCGCACGTGGAGCGGAACAACCTGGAGATGGCGCGGGCGAGCTGGATGTTTGTGGATGGCGGGCGAGCTGGTGAATAGCTTGTCCACGGTTCTGTGTGGATGGCGTGCCTACGGAGCAGATGCGCCGTAGCGTATTTGTGCAACCGGATGAATCGAGCATGTTGCTAACCCTTGGTTGTGATGATATGCTGCTTAATGTGTGAGTGGTTCCCTCCCTCCGTCCGTTGTTCTCGTGTTCCTCCTCATCCGCCTCGCCTTGAAATGTTCCTTCACTTACCCCTCAAACTCCGCCTACTACATCTCCCTCTCCCGCTATGCATCCTCTTCTTGCTCCACCACCGTTTCAGTCTCGATGTCTCTCGAATTAGCTTGTGCGATCGGCGCAACTTCTGTGGGGCATCAGGACCGTCATCTTCCTTCTCCCGCAACTCTTCATCCTCTGCTTCCTCATTTCCTGGATCCAGTGCGCAACATGCTGTGCCAACCTCCGACTGCGGTACCCACAATGCTTGAGCAACGGCGCCAGACACGTGCAGGACGCTGGCAGCACGCGCGCCGCAACGAAGACATCGCACGCACAGTCACACACTTGACCTGGCGGCGGGCCAAACCCTACGCGTGTGTAGCGCAAGCCCTGCCCCTCCCTCCACACAGCCAAGACTGACAGCAGGGATGCACGATAAGGATGCAAGCCCGTTGGCCGCCCATGTCGAAGGGTGCACGCTCCTCGTGTGGGGCTGGCCATCGAAAGTGGTCAAGGATGGCCAGAAAGTTTTTCGGTCGCGGCCGCGAGCGAAGAGCGCACGCGGCGACAGAAGTTGTCAAGGGCTGCGAACAAACCTGATTAGCTGCAGGGCGCAGAACAGGCCGGCCGGCCCAGCTCACAGGGCGGCCGCTGGGGCAGCAAGGTGAGGGCTGACTGGCTGACGGGCATCCAGATGGCCAGAAAGTACAAAGATGCAAAAACACCCTTGAAAACATTACCCATCATCACTATCGATGCCGACGGTGCTTCCGTCCACCTCCGCCGACGGCGAGGCCCCCCCTCTGCGCGCGGGCGGCAAAAGCTTTTGGGGGCACCGCCGCGCGGGGAAGAGCCGAGCCAGAACCGCGCCAGAGGCGGGCCAGGACCGAGGAGGAGGAGGAGGAGGAGGAGGAGGAGGAGGAGGAGGAGGAGGAGGAGCAGCAGCACGAGGAGGAGGAGGAAGACCAGTGTAAACCCAAGAGTCATCAACGATGTTGGAATTTGCCCTCCCTCCAAGCTCCCTCTTCATTGGCCCCTTTCAATGTTTCATTCCCATTGAAAGAACTGCCTCGTTGGAAGAAAACCGTTTGAAAATCCTGAAACATGCCAAAACATGGATCTCGGGATTTCAATGCCACGGGTCAACCTGACTGCGCTGCGTCTTGACGATCTGGAATCGTGCCCGAACGTCATTTTTGGGAGTTCAACACCGCGAAACAACATGACAGGTGCACCCGTATAATCCTGAACCCTTCCAACCAACATATTACTTCTGGTACGCTGATCATGGGAACCCGTCAAACTTTTGCAAGTTGCTAGAGCGAATTAACGCGGCGCTGAGGCGAGAACCGCATTTTGAAAAGGAGCCACCGTCAATCCGTGAAATTCTTGCAAACTGTTAAAAGGAGTGTGCGCGGCGCTAACGCGAAAACCACAATTTGAAGACCACCCGCCTTCAACCCGTGACACTCTTGCAATTTCGTTCTACAAATTGTGCGCGGCGCGAAGGCGAGAACCACAAGTTGAAAAAAACCGCCGTCAATCCGTGAAACTCGTGCATAAAAAACGGGTGTGCACGGCGCTGAGGCGAGAACCACAATTTGAAAACCACCCGCCGTCAACCCGTGAAACCCTTGCAATGTTTCAACGAATGTGCACGGCGCTGAAACGAGAGCCATATGTTGAAAACCATCCGCCCTCCATCTGTGAAACTGCTGCCACATCCTAAGCGTAATAACCATACATGGTGAGGAAGTCTCAGGCGAAACGCCCGGCCCGCCCCAACAACTGGCCTCGGGGTGCGACAGGGAAACGTTACTTAGAAGGAAGGGAATGAAGGAGGAGGAGGGGGAGGAGGAGGAGGAGGAGGAGGAGGAGGAGGAGGAGGAGGAGGAGGAGGAGGAGAAGGGGGAGGAGGAGGAGGAGGAGGAGGAGGAGGAGGAGGAGGAGGAGGAGGAGGAGAAGGAGGAGGAGGAGGAGGAGGATGGATGGATGGATGGACAGCGCCTTGAAAGGTCGGGAGGTGACAGCACCAAAAGCTTGTGGGGGGATCGACCCGAGTTAAATCGCCCCAGAGGCCCTTGCCTTTTCTTTAGCTTTAATCCTGGCAGCAAGAGCCGACATACGCTGCTCATACGAGGGGGCCGAGGGAGAGTCCGAAAACGCTCGCGGGACTGAGGTAACACACAGCTCGGGCTGATCGTTCGTATCACAAGCAACATCTAAATGTGCTACAGGCAACGCCTTGTCCAGCACTTCACGAATCTTTGTGTTATGGCCAAGCCCCCGCCTAAAACGGCTGAGGACATCCAGTCCCTTACGCGTAGGCTTGCCACAGACCTCAGCGAGCTTCACGGCTCTCCCTGGAGACCAACCCCCGCATTTTAAACACAGAATCTGCTGCTCTCTACAGGGCCCCAGGACAGCCTCCGACCGCGGAGCCTCAAGAGCCGAGCCCGACACGGCGACGAGCTGATGCCCCAGGGGATCACGCAGCAACTTCTGGAGAGCAGGAGGCGGACCCCTGCAACCGAACATGGGCCTATCGGGTCGATCACACACCGTCCAACAATACCTGCACTGCATCCCAAGTTCGGTTCGCCTCCAGAGGTGCCAAGTCTTCTGCTGGCGGCTTCCCCCCTGGGTGTTGAAAGCAGCCCTCTTCCAACGCACTTCGTTTTTAAAGAAGGGTAAAAGTGCAGTAGCAAGCGTTATGAACACATCAGCTCGCTTCTGATACAAATCTACACGGTCCAAAAACGTGGGCAGGGGCCGCGGGTGGCCCTCAAGGGCCTGCTTTGCGTGCTGGTCCACAGCACGATTCGCGAACCCAAACCTACGATCTTCGCCTTCTAACTCCTCGAGAGCAGACATCTCACGATGGGCCTTTACATGGAAGGTCGACAGGAACTCCGTTCCTGCTAGCTCATGGGCAAAACGCCTCGCACCAGCATAATTATTAGAACCAGCTAGTTGCTTCCAAAGTGGCCTCTGGGTTTGACAAATCACAGCTTTACAATCCAGGGCCAGGGAAGTGGGACGATCAGCTACCTGCCCGACTAGGGCCGCCCCCGCAGGTTCCGCCATCGCAGGGGTTTGGGTGATACCTCCAGGCGCAATGCCCCTGAGGACGGCTAGAGAGACTCAGTGCCTGGCTCCATGAGGGCGATCGCCCACGAAGCTCGACGGAGACAGCGAAGGGCCTGCTTCGTGCAGCTCCCGTCCGACGCCATCTCCAGCTGCCCGACGTCTCCTGCGAGCGCCGCAAGATCCTCAGGCTGCATATTCAAATCGGCTCCTGCGCCGTCAACAAAGTCACAGTGGGAGTGCGAGGCAGGAGGGGACACATCATCATCAGAAAACGTGAAAAGCCCACGAGTGAACACAGGATCATCGCTGTGTGCCCCTCCTCTAAAATTTCCGACAAGATCTCAAGTTCCCGTCGGGCCTCCAAAACCTCTGGTCGCCCACAGGTGTACAGCCTATGGTGCAACGTGTCACGCTGGCCACACACGCATGCCATCGGCTAAGTAACCAGCATCGCACGCACGAGCCTCAGTCCAAATCGCATCCGTGACGCAGGACAAAAGGAGGACTTGTTGCTGGCGGGTGCGGTGCTTACTACGCGTACACATGCAATTGCGCACAAGGTCGAACGTCGCGCGCGTGCCCTGCACCTGTCCAAGCCTGCGTGCAAAACGAAACTCAGCCTCTCTTTGCAAACCTTCTCTCAGAAGGTCGAGGAGGAGGCGGGGCGGGGTCTTATTTAAATCTACAGTGCACCCCCAATGGTCTATCCACTGCGTCCCTGACACCACTTTCCAGCCAGCGCGACGAGCCGATAACGTGGCGCGAGACAAGGGGCCACGGCTGGATCTCCAGTCGCCAGCGTCGCTGGCCCTAGCCTGCCCCCAAAGTTGGAGCAGCTCCTGGAAGGGAATCAGGGATCGAGTGGGATTGACCTGAGATTCCAAAGCATTCGACGCCACCCAAGGGCAGGCCCAACTGCTGCTCGAGTGTCCCACTCTCCATACAGCACCAGCTTTGCAGTCGCACTTGTCCCTCCATGAGAGGGGGGCAACCTTCGAGCTTGCGTCGACGACGCAGAGGCAACGCCCGTGCGAAGGACCTGAGACAAACCTTTCTTGGCCTCCTTGTTGGGAGCTCTAGACTTAAACCTGCCAGTCTTTTTTTACTCTCAGCTTCATTCCCCAGAGACGGGGCCGCTGTTTTACACGCGCACGGGCAGACGAACGCTTAGCACCAGCACTGTCATCAACTCCGGGATAAGTGACTGAGTGCTTCACGACCTTGGGCTCGCGCCCTAGGCCTCGCACGACATCCCGTGCAAGTGAAACCTCGCTGGCGACAACGGCGACCTTATCAGTGATCACCGCATTGATCTGCTTACTCGCGCAATAAAAC